TTATTAACTTGTGGCTATCAAATGAATTTTATGCAGGGAAAAGACTTCTAATGCTGATTTGGCTGATTTTGAAATCAGTTTCTCAAAGGGAGAAAAGAGGCTGGTGAAGGGACTGGAGCACAAGTGCCATGAGGAGAGGCTGAGGGAGCTGGGGGTGTTCAGCCTGGAGAAGAGGAGGCTCAGGGGAGACCTTCTCACCCTCTGCAACTCCCTGACAGGAGGTTGGAGTCAGGTGGGGGTTGAGTAACCAATAATAAAGTCTCACTCCCTAACAATATTTTGACCTCATTTGTATCTTAATTCACATTGGGGGAGTCGATTGAACAATCCTGAGTCTCAACAGAGAAGGATAGTAAGTATCAAATAGATTCAACTTACTTGGATTCTTTATTTCGTAGCTTAATGTCATCAAACGTTCAAACTCTGTAAGTAAGAAAAATATTCATGTTTTAATTTATTCTGAGAAATACAGTCAGAAAAAGAGGGTGGAGAAGGAACACTTCAATATCAGCAAAGGGATCTCCTTAGGTTTGACATGTGAAATACACAACTCTCTTCAGAAAATGGTGGCTGAAAAATAAGTCCCTTCTCTGGACTTGCTCCAGTGCCTCAATGTCCTTTTTAAAGTGAAGGGCCCAAAACTGAAGCTGAAAAACATTTCTGTTGTTCCTTCATGCATAGAAAAGAATGTGAGAGTTTGGGGGCTCTTTATTATATTGAAAGCAGCAGTGAGGAGAAAAACTTAGGTGGTGGCTGCCCTGACCCTGGTGGTGTTCAAGGCCAGGCTGGATGAGCCTTGAGCAGCTTGATTAGTGAGGAGGTGTCCCTGCCCAGGGCAGGGCTTGGGGCTGGGTGAGCTCTAAGCTCCATTCCAACCTCTAAAACTCTATGATTCTATGATTCTAGAGAGCAATTTTCAGTGCACTTGATGTGATACAATGAAGAAAGGCATGAGCTGTGAAGGACCTTACCTTCTTCATCCATAACGAAGCTGGATGAAATCCCATCCGTGTCACTCACTGAGATAGAGTAAGTCCCCAAGTCTGATTTATCAGGATTTTTGAAGTACAACTTAGATCTAAAATCAACAATAAAGAACATAATTAGCTTGCTTTCTCACGTTGTTGAGATTTTTACATGACAGACTTTAATAATTTGCTAGACTGACACGACTTACCGATTTCCTTCTGTTTCAATCTTAAACTTATGAGCATCATCAATCTCCTCATAAGATTTGCCCCATGCAAAATGAGATGCATCTGTAGCTTCTTTGCACTCAAAAGCCAGAAAAATATTACCCTCATCATCCACACCTGAGTAGATTTCTTTTGTTCCTGAAAAATAGGAATCAACTCAAATGTCAAGGCTGAAGTTTTCTTTGAAGATGCAATTTGTGTTACTAAACCTCACAGAAGTTTTGTCCATTTTCTCTGACAGATACTGATTTTTACTAGCAGGTCTGAAAGTATCTTTATGTGACTTGCAGACTCAGCATCAAATACTAGCAAGTTTCTTACTCTACACACACACACAAAAAGGAATGCTAAAATAAATGCTTAACGAGAAATAAATCTATAGGATGGAACTGAATATGCGAAGATATGAAAAGTTAAACAAACTAGTTTTATTATCACTCTTGAAGCTTTAACAAATGTGTTCTAACACTTTTTTTAGTCACAGCAAGTAGCAGTTTGTGAGAATAAAAACTAAACTGGTTATCAAACAGTCCCTGCAGTAAGGAAAGTAACAATTCCTATCAGCATCTCTGTGTCCACCTGAGTTTTTCTCTAAGGCTAAGAGCTTCTTAACTGCTGAGAAACTTCTCTGTGATGTAATATGGAGTCAGAGTGATCAAATCCAAGCATTTCAGCACTTTAGAAGCAGAGGAGATGAAGCAGTTGCTGTTACCTGGCCGTGCCTCCACCAGCACAGGTTCAGATCTCTCCGATGACTTTCCTGCCCCAGCGTCGTTCACTGCACGGACTTTGAACACATAGGTGTGTCCCTCGTGTAAATCAGTGACCTTGAACGAGATGAAGGGCAAATCCAGTTTAAAAACACAATCCAAACTGGTTTGTTTCCTTATAGGAAGGTGTTCACAGAAGCTGAAGTTCAAACATGTCTTTGTTGTACTCAACCAGACGTTTTTAGACCTCAGTTTGGAACTGATATGAAGCAACGAAAACGTTACCTTAAAATACCTCTTGGCAGTGGGTTTTTCATTAGCAGTGAGCCAATCTTCTGAGTCAACCTCCTTGTAGTCCACTAGATACCCTGTGATGGGGCTCTGGCCTTCGTACACAGGAGCTTTCCACAGAAGAACCAGCGATGTATTCCTGACTTCACACACCATGAGGTCATAGGCAGGACCTAAAACAGTTCAAACACTGGAAGTGCATCTAATGCAATAAAGTTTTGCTAACTGTCCCTGTAGAGGCCAAAATACACCTCAATTATTTTGACTCTATTTGCTTTCAAAGGTCTCCTCTTTTACAACAAACCTGCCACACATGATCTTTAGGTCCTTTTCCCCTCGTGGCTGCACACAGCAAGAGCTGCTTCCTGCAGTGAGTGGCATTAGTATTCTGAGGCAGAGGTGCTGAGCTACAGCTCAGTAACTCTGTTTTAAGGGAAAGCTGACCATGTGGAAAATCCATGCAGTTTCAGAGTTTCCAACCAGTAAGAGAGATTTCTTTTCTATTATTTATCTCACCAGCCACACAGCAAAGTTGCTTCACTGAGTCTGACTCAGGTTCAACATGTCACGGCAGGATTTGTATTTTTTGGTGGTACACATGAGCCATGGTCTTTGAATCATTGCTTCAAATGAACCATGGGGAAGAACCATGAGAAAATGGCACTGGCACAGCTCCCAGGGCAGTGTCACAGCCCCAAGGCTGACAGAGCTCCAGAGGTGTTTGGCCAATGCTCTCAGCACAGGGTGTGACTGTCAGGGATGTCTGTGCAGGGCAGGGGTTGGGCTGGGGGATCCTCAAGGATCTGAGAATCATAGAATTTTAGGAGTTGGAATGGAGCTTAGAGCTCACCCAGCCCCAAGCCCTGCCCTGGGCAGGGACACCTCCCAGCAGAGCAGGTTGCTCAAGGCTCATCCAACCTGGCTGTGAACACTGCCAGGGTTGGGGCAGCCACAGCCTCCCTGGGCAACCTGGGACAGGGTCTCACCACCAGAACAGGGAAAATTTCTTCCTGATATCTAACCTAAATTGCCCTCCTTCAATTTGAACCCATTACCCCTTGCCCTGTCACTGCAGCTCCTAATTACAATCCTATTATAATGCATTTTCTAGTTACAATCCCTCAGGCAACACCTGGGTAGGACTTAAGGGAAACACGTGTAAGGGCACACTAGATGAGACTGGGAGACTTTAGCTTTGCTGCTTGTCTCTATGTCAAGGAACAGGTTCCTTCTATGTGCTATTTATGTCCAAAAAACTAACATAGTGTTTGAGTCTGAAATTCCAGGAATATTCTCAATAGGCTGCATTGATGGTTCAGAGAACCAAAAAAACTAACATAGTTTTTGAGTCTGAAATTCCAGGAATATTTTCAATAGGCTGCATTGATGGTTCAGAGATGCCTATATATTCTACAGGTGCTGAATGTGAAGTGGAGCATGTAGGGCTTGAAGAGCTTATAGAGGTAAAAACATAGACTAAAGGCTTGAGACTTTGTGCTCTGAGCTGATGTGGGCAGGGAAAGCAAGGGACACCCAGCAAGCTAAGTAAAGGTAATTTATTTCCAAGGAGATTCAACATCCTCAGTAGGGATGTGGAGGTAGCTTTATAGAGGAAAACTGGAAAGCAAGGTCAATTTCAACAGCTCTGTGGAAGAAATCAACCAAAAGACATCCAGCAGAGTTTGGCTGGGACATTGTACCGGCTGAGTTTTAAGGAGTTTGTATTGACCTGAGATTCATGAGGAGCTAATAGACTTACCAGGTTCTGGCATGGTCCAGGCTTTACACTTGAAATGCTCACTGGGATCTGAAGGTTGACCTATTCCAACCAGATTTGCAGCAGCAACTTTGAATTCATAAAAGGAATCTTCTGTCAAATCCTCCACCTTGGTTTTGGAGAAAATTCAGTGTACAGGTTAATGAGCTGGAAAGGACCTTAGAGATCATCCAGTGCCAACCCCCTGCCCTGGGCAGGGACACCTCCCACCAGAGCAGGTGATAACATATCAAGAGCCATGGTTTATATTCATTTAATAAATACCTGAAAATGAGCATTGTTTAATTAATTATTAGGCCTTATAGCTATGCTGGAGGATCTAATTTGAAGATTTTACTTGAACCACATGCACTGCAGAGTTCTATATTACACTTCCATGTTTCAGTCACATCCTCCTAGGAATAACACTCAGTATCTTGACTTGAGAGGCTGTGAAAGGTTAGAGCAAATGTCTAGGGAGCCCAATTGATGAATGACCACTAGCAGATACTTAGGAGTGTTCTGACATCAAATACCTCCTTGCACTGCTTATGAATGGCTATTGATAAGCCTTTCACTTGAGCAAGAGTTCAAATGGTGTTTGGATTTAAAGAGGCCACAGTGGAATGACCAGGAAAGAAAAGAAAACAACAGGGAAACTAAAAGAAAAGACAATCCAAGCAGTTCCACAGTGTGCTGCTATAACACTAGGGAAAAGCCTTTCAGTAGTTTTTTTTCTGGATTGTTTTTATTTTTATGAATAAATAAACTATCACTATGTTCTCTTTGAAAGTGTGAGATAAAAAAAGGATTTTGGTGTGATCATATTTTAACAGTAAAAAACATATGATGGGATGGTAGCAATCATAGAGCATCGAACACAAGACCAAAGGAAACAAGGTAAGATAGAAAAGTCAGACACTAATATAATTTAGACATAATTTCCCAAGGACAGACAGCTATTTAATGTGATTCACAGGACAGAATAACATCCCAGCCTGGCAAAAAATGATTCTGAAATCCCAGGTTATTAAGGGAGAGGATATTTGTGGGGTTGCCACAGAATTATTTAATCAGAGAAGGTTAAACCTTTAGTGATTTCCCAGAGCTGTACTGTATATCTCAGGGCATTCTCTGCTTGCAGGAGGTCATAAAATATTCTCTGCTACTAAAGCTGCCTTGGTTTTATTTCCCACCAGTATTTCAGATTCATTCAAACAAACGTGGGAAGATGCACCTTCAGGCACCAATACAGGACAGAGACTTAAACATCCAATTAATCTCCGAATTATTTCCCCTAATTTGCATTACTCATTTGTTTCCAAATGTACTAAAAAGATCAGAATATTTGGAAAGCATTGCTTAGCATTGCTCTTTCATGCCTATCCTACCTTCCCTTTTCCTTTGCTCAACATCCATGCTCCACCTGCTGTGCCAGAGATGCCAGTCACAAAACCAATCCCAAGCACACACACCTGAGGTTTGCCAACTGCCTCCAGTGCATGAAACTCTTCCCCAGCTCCTCTGCAGCATCGTCGGCTGCTTTAGTGGCAAATATCTGCTAAAGACTTTCTCCTGCCCTGAGGTTTATAGGAAAATTGCTGACTTGAAGAAATAAAACTTGAAGCATTTGGGACTCAAATCTGATTGCATAACACAATTTAACAAGCATCAGATGAATTGGTTACTTCACAGAATACTCAGAGTTGGAAAGGATCCTTGAGGATCAACTATAGAATATATTGCCCAGGGAGGTGGTGCAGTCACCATCCCTGGAGGTGTTTCAGAGGGGGCTGATGTGACACTGCAGGATCTGGGTTAGGGTTTGGGGGTTCCAGCAGTGACAGGTTAATGGTTGGACTTGATGATCTTAGAGATCTCCTCCAACCAAATGAAATAGTACAAACCAACTCTAAAAACATAAGGGTTAAAAAGTACTAACCGTATAAATTGTCCTGGTGATAAGGGAAGAGTTGACTTCATGCCAGTTTTGATGGTTAGCTTCCCTCTTATCCATATAATACCCAATGATTGGAGAACCTCCACTGTATGTTGGTGCTTTCCAGCCAAGGGTCATGGAATGGCCATCACAGTTGAGAAGTGTGATACCATGAGGATAAGATGGACAAGCTGCAAGGAAATAAGCAACCTGAGTGTTAGGACAGAGTCTAAACCTCTGCAGGGAACAAGTGGTTTAGCATTTTGGGTATTGCTTCTGTTTTCTGCAGCATATTGGTAACAAAGGAGTTGTAAAGTTGCTAATCATAGAATCATAGAATGTAAGGGTTGGAATCGAGTTTAGAGCTCACCCAGCCCCAAGCCCTGCCCTGGGCAGGGACACCTCCCAGCAGAGCAGGTTGCTCAAGGCTCATCCAACCTGGCTGTGAACACTGCCAGGGTTGGGGCAGCCACAGCCTCCCTGGGCACCCTGGGACAGTGTCTCATCACCAGAACAGGGAAAAACTCTTTTCTAATATCTCACCTAAACCCTTCCCTGACACCAGTGTGCTGCAGGCAGTACAGGCTGAGCACGTGGCCCTGAAGCTCATCTGACCTGTGGAGCTGCAGTGACAGGACAAGGGGCAATGGGCACAAATGGAAAGAGGGAAATTTAGGTTAGATATCAGGCAGAAGTTTTCCCTGTTGTGGTGGTGAGCCCCTGTCCCAGGGTGCCCAGGGAGGCTGTGGCTGCCCCAACCCTGGCAGTGTTCACAGCCAGGTTGGATGAGCCTTGAGCAACCTGCTCTGCTGGGAGGTGTCCCTGCCCACGGGACTAGATGATCTCTAATCTCCATTCCAACCCCTAAAATTCTATGATTCTATGATATTTGTAGTTGAATTATCAGTATAATTGAGGGAATGTGACTTACCTCATTCAGAAGAGAATATGTAAGCAAAGTACAGTCCCAGAGCTTGTAGCTGCACTAGTGATCAGCATGAAAACAGAGAATGATCAGCATGAAAACAGAGAGTAACCAGCAGAACCAGCTTTTTCTTCTTTTTTATCCCAAATATGGTGCTGTACTCAAAGGCCATTACAAGTGGTCCTGGCATTTATTACCACTTCCTGGTAAATGACCATAGTAAACTCCTTTAATTGCCCTTAAAAGAGTACCACAGAAAGATTCTGGCCATGCTGATGTAAGCCACCTGTAAATAGTCCTGTTAAATTCCTGCCAAGGCCACTGAAATGGTTAAAAGCCATTCACATCCCATCAGTGTGTGTAAACTCCTGGTGTTCTGTGTTTGGTGACCCCATGCAACCTCATCCACACACAGTGGCAAAAGAACAGGTGCAAGTGCATTTACAACACAGAGGTGATGTGTGGACGAGTGTCTGTGCACCACCTACCCATGTGAGGCACACATCCTCCTAGGAAATTCAAACAGAGTGACTTGGTCAGTAGCATCTCATCCAAATTTACCTTCTATTACCATTACAGAATCCCAGAGTCAGTTAGGGTGGAAGTGACCACAGTGGGTCATCTGGTCCAACCTCCCATTCTGAATTACAAATCTTTTAGAGGAATAATTCTGACAGCTATGTCCTATTGGTTTTCTTCTCCAGGGGATAGAGACCAGTCAGGTGGGGAAAAGATGTTCTATTTTCAATTTTTCAGTATGAAACTGTACAGAAATGAAAATTGGACCATGATAGTCCAGATCTGTGCACCTTTTGTTCTAAATAATGAGCCAGCCTTTCCACATGTCTCATTCCCAATCAATCTTGCACAGAGATTTTGTTTGCAGGACACCAGAGGATGTACACTGTGCTATCCACTACCTCCCTGGGCAGCACATTCCAATATCTGATCACTCTCTCTGTAAAAAATCTCTTCCTAATCTCCAACCTAACCCTCCCCTGGCAGAGCTTGAGTCTGTGCCCTCTTGTCCTGCTGCTGTTGCCTGGGAGCAGAGACCAACCCCCACCTGACTCCAACCTCCTGTCAGGGAGTTGCAGAGGGTGAGAAGGTCTCCCCTGAGCCTCCTCTTCTCCAGGCTGAACACCCCCAGCTCCCTCAGCCTCTCCTCATGCCACTTGTGCTCCAGTCCCTTCCCCAGCCTCGTTGCTCTGCTCTGGACCTGCTCCAGCCCCTCAATGTCCCTCCTGAGCTGAGGGCCCAGAACTGAGCACAGTACATCTGAGCCAACATATCTAACAGCCATTACGAATAACTTTCTTTATAAAACATTGGCTTTTCTGTAGAGCAGCCACATGTCAGAGCTCAGACATCATTCAGCAGATGTGCCTGATGGCTGCAAACTTGACCAAAGGAGTTGACTGGTGAACATATGTGACTCAGACAAGAAACAAGAAGCTGAGCTGCACAGAATCACACTTACTAAGAGCTGCCTGTACTATTACAGCCTCAGATTCCTGGGAGTTTTCACTGAGTCCCACAGCATTTGCAGCTTTCACACGGAAGACATACTGCTGTCCAGTTTCCAAGCCATGGACAACAAACCTGGGGTAAATAAAATGACATCAGGTATTAACATATATTTTCCAGGAACAATTCTAGGCTGTAACATGAAATCTGTGTAACACTCTGAAAGCTCAACTTCATGAGTGCTGCACAAAGAAAGGTGTTTCCAAGGGGAAAACCATAATACAATGACATGATGTAGTGCAATATATCCAGTGGGACACTGGACCAAAAGCCTCAGTAGTCATTAGATTTCTGGTGCTGATCTAGCAGGTAGAGTCAGATAAAACATAAGAGATTCCCTCTGAACTTTGGCTTGCTAAATTCTAATCTATTCTGGGAAGGGACTTCATTTTTCACTGTACTTTTGCAGTCACTGACAAAGAGTTTTCAGTTTCAATCTGAGGTTCTAGGTAATTATTGTACTGGATAGAATAATCAGAAATATTGAGTACAACATTCTCCTTCCATGATCACACCATGGCTTAGCATGGAAATTGGCTTAACACCATCCTAGAGTTTTCAAACCTCCTCAATATAGAGAAATGCTGTCAATACCTGTTATATTTGATGGGTTTATGGTTACTAGGTTCCCAGTGATTCGATCCCACCACGGAGTAGTCAATGTAGTAGCCATATAAATCCTCTTCATGCTTTGGTTTATCCCACTGAACAACAACTGAGGTTTTTGTATTCCTTGTGGCCACCACCTGACCAGGTGCAGATGGGACAACTAAGAAAGAGGGGGAAAAAAATATGCTATTAGGAAATACCAATCATAATCTCAAAACAAATACTCTGTGTCCGATGTATTTGAGCTCAGGTCGTAAACTCTGTCTGAAAATACTCCTGGAGTTTCTCTTTAAAACAGCACTTTGTGCTTTGTGCTCTCAGCTGTAGCTGTGATTTATTCAGCACATCCTGCATTAACCCCTAAGGAATAGCCTTATTTCTGTACTAAATGAAATAAATCCAGTGGGTTTTTCCCCTACCTTGGGGAATGCAGAATGGTTTAAATATTTTAGATGCATTAATGAGCCATCAAACCAAGAACATCTAAAAGCAAAAGATGCTCTTGTTTGATCATGTAAAGACACAGAGCAAACTAAAGGTGAAGGATTATACCTAAAACTGTGGTAAGATATGTGCACTAAAGCTGCCAGATATTAGTACGTGGAGCTGTTATATGTGACCTCTGCAAAACTGCAGAGCCAAAAAAAAAAAGGAATAACCACTCCCTAAATTTCCATTGCTGTTTTTGAATGTGGTCCCAAGAACACTTTGTTTTCATCCTGAAATTTCCCACTGAATATGTAGCTGTTTCTTCCCCTGTCCCTGAAATCTCCTCATCTGCATGCCTAGGATTCTGCACCAGCAGTAATTTGCATCCTAGGACACTAAGAAAGAAACCAGAGGCTACTTTACCTAGATGGAACTGTAGGGAATTAGGTGGTGTATAATTACCTGAGCCAGACAATATAATTAGCTAAGTTAGCAATTAACCTGCATTATCCCATATTTTTTTGACAAGTCACATTAACAGAGCGCTGGAGAGGTTAATAATCAAAAATAATTTAGCCTTTTAATGATGGTTTCAGTAAGGAAACTTATGATCATTAGGGAAACTCCAGAGAGTTCCTAAAATTTAGCATCTTAGTCTTACTGAAATCCTTCACAGAATTGAACCCAAAGTTGATTACTGTAATTATTCTAACCTAATTATAATTGCATTTCCGTTGTGTAAACTATCTGGGTTTTAGTGTTAGAGCCTTGCAGTGAAAGCCTCACCGACAGTATCCTGTGGCTGGATAGGTTCTGTGATTTCAGATGGATCACTGATGCCATGTTTGTTTGCTGACAGCACTCGGAAAACATATGGTTTTCCTTCTGCAAGGTCAAACACTGCGTAGCGAGGAGATTTTACTGCAACCTGTGCATTGACTCTCTGCCAGCTTCCACTGCCAACCATGGACTGAAAAGAAGAAGGGGAAAAAAAGCTGTGAATCATTTCTGTGAGCTGTCAAAAAATGAACATATTGCTGCATGGCATCTTGTCATGAATTTATGTAAGAGCTATGAGAGGATCACTCTCCAGGGCCTCACTTTAACATATGCAAATTCTCCTAGCTCATGCATTCCATTACTCCACAAAAAGGTCTGAGTACCTCACTGTTTCCCTGCCTGTCTCAGCTTCAATACATGCACAGCTCCAGGTGCAGTCAGTCTGGAGTTGGGGCCATGACTGTCAGCTGGGATTGGTCCCAGGGGAGTTACTCTCATGTCCTGCAAAACTCCCTGAACACCCAAAGGTTTGGTAGCAAATCCTAATCCAAATTCTGCAGAAAGGGAGGGAGGGAAATGTTGCTTTACTCACTACTTTATGTATTCTGTTGAGTAAGGTCACAGAATCACAGAACACTCAGAGCTGGAAGGGAATAATGAGGATCCCCCAGCCCAACCCCTGCCCTGCACAGACATCCCTGACACTCACACCCTGTGCTGAGAGCATTGGCCAAACACCTCTGGAGCTCTGTCAGCCTTGGGGCTGTGACACTGCCCTGGGAGCTGTTCAGGGCCCAAACACCTCTGGGGGAAGAACAGGACCAGGAGGTGATTCTGCCCCTGCACTTGGTGCTGGTGAGGCCACACCTTGAATCCTGGGCCCAGTCTGGGCCCCTCAGAGTGAAATCCAGCTAACCAAGTGTAGGTGTCTACTCAATCCACCTCTGAGCTTTTTGCCTGGGCTATTTCTGCACATTCTGGAGGTAACAAGGTATTTCCATGACAAGAGCTGCTTCCAAATCCTTAAGATAATACGCTTGAAATGTATAGATAAGAGCGACCACATGTAATTGAGAATAAGTGCAAGGAAGAAATGCTATTTTTATGACACAGAAAGGAAAACTAGATACTTATTTCTAAGGGAATCTTCATTAGTTCTTTTGGATGTGAGAGGCAGAGTGGGAGAACCCATGGACATGCTTGCTGGAAGACAACTAGTGACCAGTCTTCACTTTACACCTATTGGCTCAACATCCAGCAAGTAAGGGATGATGTAGACTATAGAAATGGGCTCTAAAGGTCTTTTGAAGTGGAGATTTTTGATGTGACTGAAAGGGAAAAGACAAGATGAGGCTGCAAAGAGAGGAGTGACGTGAACAGGATGGCTGAGAAATGAATCACAGAGGAATGTGCTGAACAGACGTGAGAAGCAAAAACCTTTCATAGTAGGGCCCAAGAAAAGGCTGTCACAATATTCAAGATGCCAGTTGAATGTGTGGTGGTTTCATGGACAGGTTTAGTGCTGGTGGATTGTTCAGAGGGGTCATATGCTAGAGGCATAATTCATCAAAACTAAGTATAGCTTGACATATAAGAGTTTTAGAGGTCAGGTCTGAGGCACAATTTACCTACAGGGAAAACTTTGTATCACATTGCTGTAATCCAACATCACTTAGAAACGTGGCCCAGGGACAGATCTATCTACATTTCAGTCTCTTAGGTGGGGGAAGAACAAACCTCTCCCGCCGTGATCCCTGTCTGTTCAAAGGGAAGAGGAAGGCAGCCAGGAGGAGTAGAGGGAGCAGTAAACCTGAGACAGGCACCTGCCTCCCTGCTGACCTTCCAGGGGATAAATTGGAAATGTCAGAGTATGGCAGAGGGTGCCTAAAGCCTGCAAAAAGTGAGGATCAAATTATGAGTCACTGCTTATTCCTTGCCCTACCACAGGACTACCAGGAGCTTCCCTTTAACACAGACAGACTGAAACCTTCCAGTCTTGACTGTAGGACCTTGTAGGCCTTCAGATGCTTCTTTTCCATTTCTTAAAACACCCACCTTACACCAGCACTTTGTTCCCATTTTAGACAGCAATAAGCAAACGGGACAGGGTCAACCTTTTGCCCAGACCTTGAATTTCAATGTTCATTAAATCATAAGACATAGGATTTTCCATGCTTCTCTAATCTCCCATTCCCAAACCCTGCAAGGCCACAGGAGGAGTTAGCTTTCTTGCTCATTGTGCAGTCCTAGAATGGGCTGAATGTCATTGCACCTTACAGAAAGTGCCACTGTAAGTACAGTACCTTCTCGATGAAGTAGGTGAGTGGCTCCCTGCCACGGGGAACAGGTGGGTCCCAGCTGAGCACAACATATGTTTTGCTGATTTCTGAAGCATGGACGTTGGTGGGAGGGCTTGGAATCTGAATATCCCCTGTAAGAGTGAGAAATGCAGGGAGTGTTCAACAGCAGATTAAGCCCTGGGGCAGCACTTCTGCTACAGCTCATCTTTCCCCACTCCCACCCTGCAGTGCCCTGCTCAGCTATGAGGAGCTGCAGTGTCTTCTGTGCAGTTCACTTGCTCACTTCACTGAAATGTTGATAACGAAAACTTCTGTTTATAGCTACTTAGTTACTTTTGGAGGAAAAGTTAAACATGCCCCTTGAAAATCTGTGCATTTGTCACACTCTTTTCTTTGGTTGCATTTGAATGACTTCGATCTGCTGGTAAAAAACTCAGTATATGCAAACATGAGATTTTTTGATCCAAGACAGAAGTCTAAAGGGTTTTATCAGACATTAAAGTAGGAAAACATATCTGGGAGGGAAGCACAGTAAGGAGAAAAGCACCTTAAAACAAAGCAGACAGCAGGAAAAGAGGCAGAATCACAGAGTAATGAGAGTTGGAAGAGACCCTTGAGGACCATCTAGTCCAGCTCCTGGAAAGTTGAAGCTGATACATAAACCTCCATAAAAGCAGAAGTTTTTAGCAATGTATCCTGGAACATGGTGGTATTATCAGCTGCACAGACTAAGGATCTTCTGAAATGTAAGAACCACTAAGGTGAATATATGTCACCAGCCCTTTGGTGGCTCCAGCAGTTGGTGTGGCCTCATCAAACCTCTCTCCCCACTCACTCCACAGGGTTGCCAGGAATGTCAGTCAGGACCTGCCTATGCTGGGTGAGGCTGAAGTCAGTTCCACCATCCAAGGAGTTATAATGGTGTGAAACAGCACCAGGCAGAGGTTTGGACCTATGATAATACTGCTGCATAGACAGAGCTACATGGCCCTGAAGAAGCTTCCTCCTGGTGATAGAATCACAGATTCATAGAATTGAAGGGTTGGGATGGAGCTTAGAACTCATC